GGAGCCCCTAGTAGCGTCCTTGTTCCTAGTAGTGATGCCAGGAGCCCAGTAGCGTCCTTGCTCCTAGTAGTAAGGCCACGAGCCCCTGGTAGCGTCCTTGCTCCAAGTAGTAAGGCCAGGAGGCCCTAGTAGCGTCCTTGCTCCACGGCCAGGCAGTAGCGTCCTTGCTCCTAGTAGTAAGGCCGGAGCGCCTAGTAGCGAGTACGGCCAGGAGCCCCTAGTAGCGTCCTTGCTCCAGGAGCCCCTAGTAGCGTGCTTGCTCCTAGTAGTACGGCCAGGAGCTTCTACTAGCGTCCTTGCTCCTAGTAGCAAGGCCAGGAGCCCCTACTAGCGTCCTTGCTCCTAGCAGTTCGCTCCATTGCCTATAACCTTACTGGTGGCTATCAGGTAGGTGCTGTGAAGGCCTTGTGGTCGGCTACTTCTGATGCACGTTGTCCCCATTGTGACCAACTGGACACACATATGCATCAGCAACTCGAATGTCCAGCATTTCACGAGATTCGCACTCGACATCCAAAAGCAGTGACTTGTTTGTCTAATAGCCCACATAAACTATGGCTACCCTTGCCAGCCGCATTCCCCCACATCACAGAACTGCGTCAATTCCTTGTAGCCAGAGGTCTCGACACTGGAAACACGCGTATCCGACAAGACGCTGATGTTCTTTATTTCTATACAGATGGGTCAGCGGATACTCCCCTTCACCCGGAAACTCGTCGAGCCGCGTGGTCTGTCATCCAGTTTCGGCCCCAATCCATTCAGGATCCATTCCTTACTATCAAAATCCAGCACGTCCAGGGTCCTCAATCCATCGCTCGGGCAGAGCTTGCGGCCGTAGCGTGGATTATCCAGCACGTCACACACAACCACTGGTCACAGCAAATTGTCATTTCCACAGATTCCCAGTATGTTATCGACACTATTGGCCATATTACCATGCCAGCATGTTACCCTTCCTGGCACCGTCTAGCCAACGCTGACTTACTTCACATCATCGCGCGCTCATGGTCCTCATCACAATTTGTCCTCCGCAAAGTTCGAGCTCACCAAAACATCCAGGATGTTCCCCCCGGTCCGGCACGTGATGATGTTCAAGGCAATTCATGGGCAGATTATGCCGCAGTTATTGCACGTAAGACCGATCATGCATTTGTCCATTCTCTGTTTCAGGCAGCCGCCACTTGGCATCGCGATCAACTTGATCAAACCCAATCCATTTTGCACTACCTCGCTGACCTCAATGTGACTCATGCTAGTCTTAAACAGGCACAGCGCCTCAAGACCGGCGGCTCTCCCCATCACGACTCTACGGCTGATTGGGGTACTCTATTCCGCCAGCGCGAATTGTATACGATCTCGCATGATCCTGTCCGATTTGCCCCGCTGGTTCATCCTGCTTTCCTTACGGCCTGTGTTTGGGGCAACCAGTATGCGGACTTAGTCTTACGTTTCTGTGCAAGTCTTAAATGGCCATCTCCAGAGGTACACTCCACAGCCCTCGAAGTAGATACAGGCATCACATGGCACGAACTCGCTTTAGCTTTCATTGTAAATACAGGAATACAATTCCCGACATGGATTCGTAGGACCGGTCAAGCTCGAGCCCAGCCTGTACACTGGCAAGATCCCAGTGTGTTAGCTCTGCCTATCCATCGGCGATCTCTATGGGAACAAGCTGAAGCCTTCCGTACCATCGTCCTTTACCTTCAAGGTTATGCTGATACGCCGGTAGTGCCCAAATACTCTAAAACCGGCTCGCTTAGCCTAACTCAGGTAGGATGGGGACGATCCTATACAGGTGGTTTTGTATCCCGTCCGGAAATTCCCAACTCTCCTGCTGTCCAGAGAACATTGGTCCTCTACGCAGAGCAGCTTCATTGTAAACCACCGTATCATCCTGATGGTCTGGTGCCCATGCGCCACGCAGTCGTTCATTTTCCTATTGTGCCTGCACAGACACTTACCTTTGAACAGAAGTTCAAATATCGTCGTAATCTTCGCAAGGTGAGGAACAAGCATGGTGATCTCGATTCTGTTAACGTCCCCGCCCCTAATTAGGAATTTACCTTTGAGCCTTCTACGAGCTGCGCGGATATTCGGTTTCACGTAGATAGTGGTCTCACTTGGTAGCCTCATTGCAACGTCTTTATCCGACAAAGTGATACTGACCCCACTCCCGGACACCCACCAACATGGTGCAGGGTCGCGGGAAGCGCGTCGACAGCGAGCGCAAGTTGTGTGAGTAGTATGGCCAGGAACCCCTAGTCGCGTCCTTGCCCCTAGTAACAAGGCCAGGAGCCCCTAGTAGCGTCCTTGCTCCTAGTAGTGATGCCAGGAGCCCCTAGTAGCGTCCTTGTTCCTAGT